GCCAAGGTATGATAGAGGTGCTGGTACCCAACCTTAATAAACTTTAATGAATAAAATTATGCATTACATTTCTGTCTATGCCACATAATCTATGCCTTGCAAGTTTGCTGGGGATATTGCAGCTATTTCTGTGGACCAGAGTATGATCACATGGGCCTATACTGCTACCAGTGGTGGCCACCAAAGAGCCGTTACAAGCCAAGGCATGATAGAGGCGCTGGTACCCTGGACCAATGGAATGGGATACATACACTACATTTCTATCTATGCCACATAATCTATGCCTTGCCAGTTGATGATTGATTCAATGAATGAGGAAGAATGTAACAAAGAAAAGTACAATGGGGCATTGTGTTAGGTTAGTAGTCTATTGTGATGCACTAGAAGTTGTAAATAATAGTATGCAACCAGGGCAAACATGTGTTATGAGCTAATACCAATATTTTGGGTAGCTTACTATTATGTACTATTAGGTGTACTAGTTGTAAATAATACCAGACACACGTGTTGGTCTCATTTGCCTATTCTTTTGTTTCATTTTCTTATTTTTGGTTTTTATCTTTTTCCCTAGTCTCTTCTACTTTTTATTTTGGTTTCACACATCCTTTATGCAATTTTTGGTATTTTAGTTTGAATATGTAATTGCTACGTCATTTTTGCTTTCGAGCTATATTTTAAAAATAATATTAAACACATACAGAATGCACATTAATTAACAAATTATGTTAGCATTGTCATTGTCCAATGTATTATTAAATAATTCCTTTTCCTTTCCTTACAACTTTAACAATAATAAAAGTAACAACAGCCACTACTATTATAACTATTAATACTATTATAATAATTAACTTGATTGATCTCTTCTGATGCTTCTCAGCCTAAGAAGAAAAGAGAGAGAGGGTTTAGCATGAAGCGTGTGAGAGGCAAGGAAAAACAAAAAAGAACACTGTATGCAGTGAAATTAAAACTTTCTTTCAAAAAAAAGAACGAAAATATTCATGAATTTAGTGGAAACACAAAAGTTTAATTACAGAGAAAATTATGGCATGGCTCATATGACCAAAATTGACCATATTCTACATCTTTTCATTTGCACAACTTTCTATCTTTGAACTGCATACACATGCATTTACATAATATGATTATTTGTTACCTTCTCCAGTTGTTTGACACCTTCAGTGACTTTATGAAGTGTCCTCTCAACATTGTAATCAATCCTATCCAATATTGTACCCTGTGATTAATAACAAGAATAGATTAATAATAATAATAATAATAATAATAATAATGATAATAATAACAACAACAAAAATACCAATAACAACAACAACGATAACAATAACACACAACAATGAAATTAAAGCTTCAACTTATCCTAACCTGTTCCACTACCATTGTTGCCAGGTCTTTATACATTTCATTTATTTCAGATATTGATCTAACTACTGATACTATTTCTCTCTCTCTTTGTTCTATCAGTTCAGAATTATCCTCCAACTGTGACAACTGACCTGACGTGAAACCTAAAGAAAGAGAGAGAGAGAGAGAGAGAGAGAGAGAGAGAGAGAGAGAGAGAGAGAGAGAGAGAGAGAGAGAGAGAGAGAGAGAGAGAGAGAGAGAGAGAGAGAGAGAGAGAGAGAGAGAGAGAGAGAGAGAGAGAGAGAGAGAGAGAGAGAGAGAGAGAGAGAGAGAGAGAGAGAGAGAGAGAGAGAGAGAGAGAGAGAGAGAGAGAGAGAGAGAGAGAGAGAAAGGAGTTTCATAATGTGTACATGCAGTACATGTACATGTACACATATGCTGTGTA